ATAATTTTGTGCTAGGTGATTGGTAATAATAATATTTGGTGATTGAAGTCGTTTTGTTTGATGGTCAAGTAATTCACATCGTTTATAATCACTGTCATTTGCAATTACAATTCCTGTAGCTTCTTCTGGACCAGAATGAATCATTTCAAGAATTTGTGTTGTTTTAGAACCTGGAGCTGCACAAAGATCGAGAACGTCATGATATGGTTTAACATTTAAAAAAAGAGGTGGAATCATGCTAACAGCTTCTTGTCTAGAGATCACACCTGCTTCAGTTTGAACAATAATAAACTTACGTAATTCTTCAAGACTTTTATTTTTTTGAATTTCTCCACGAGATGCATTTAATTGATATGCAATTCCTCCAGGATACCAGCTCAATTCAATTGGTCGTTCCTGTTCATTTTCGATATTATTTATTAATCGTTTTAATTCTTCTTTAATTATTGGTGTTTGTTCATTTCGTGTTAATCTAAAAGTAGTTGGTAAAGTTTTGTGCATTGTTTCTATATATTCTTTAAACTCTTCATTATTCATTATACTTGTTTGTTGTGAATAAAATTTTTCCATTTCGGGATTTTCTGTGATGTAATGATAGTCTTTCTTTGATGGTTTTCTTCCATCATCTTTCTTTATTTCTTCTTGTTGAATTTCTTCTTTCTTCTCTCCTTCCATCACTCAATTTATAAATAAAAGGGTTTCACTTCTTTTTTTCAGATTTTTTCTTTTCTCATTCATACTTGAATTATTTACTCATAATTTTTTTTTAAGATTATAATTGTATAAAAAACACAAAATAATTGAATAACATAAATTATTGTTAAATAAAAATCCTTAAAGTTATAAAAAACATATATTTTAACATTATTTTATTTATTCAAAACAAAGAGAAAATGGATTTCCTCAATAATTAAACATCTCAAAAATAGCACGAAACAGTAACTTGAAAAGTAGATTATATTGACATGAAAAGAAGTCAAGCACCATCTGTAAGATTAGCAAAACGAGGTGTAAAAGAAGAAGACATTAAACTCGCATTTAAGTTTGGTTGTCATGCCATTGACCAATTATTAAACAAAGGAACTTTTGAACAAAAAACCGAAATAGAAGAACAAGGAAAAACAAAACAACTCAATATGGATGAAGAAAATAATGGTGGTGCCAAAAATGAAGTTGTCAAAGAAAATGGACCAAAGTTATATTATTGGTGCATATTTAAACCAAAAAACAAAGATCCTAAACCAGGTATATTAGAAGTTAGTTTTGATAAATTATTATTGTTTGACATGGAAGCAAAACAAACTGGTTCAGTTGATATTACTAGAGGAGAAGTATATGAAATAGAATTAGCAGATAAAGAAAACAAGGAAAATCATATCAAAGTTGAAACTCAAACAATAAAAATAAAGAACAAAGAAATAATAATAGATACTGGAAAATGTTTTGTTATGTCTCAGAAAGAGGTAAAAGTCCTAATAAGTTTTCCAGCAGAAAAATATGTAAATGGATCTATCTTTCTTCAAAAACCACCAACTGAGGAAGAGTGTGAGAAAATTGTTCAAAAAAAAGAAGAAAAAAAAAAGACAGTATTTGTTGGTAGAGTGTTATTATCTAAGAAAGCAAAAGGTTTTGTTGTTCCATATAAAAATGCTGTTATACAGAGAAAAAGACATGAACCACTATTTAATCCTAATGAACCAGATGCTGTTGTATTATATCAACCAACAGTTACAAGTAGAAAAGAGGTGGCTGTAGTTGTTGATCCATTATTAGGACTAAAACTAAGACCACACCAAAAGGCTGGAGTAAAATTTATGTATGACTGTGTTATGGGATTAAAACAAGGGTTTAAAGGAAATGGATGCATTTTGGCTGATGGAATGGGTCTAGGAAAAACAATTCAAGCAGTTACATTAATTTGGACGTTATTACGACAAGGACCTAATGGAGAACCTACATGTAAAAAAGTGATGGTTGTTGCACCATCAAGTTTAGTAGGAAATTGGGAAAATGAGTTTAAAAAATGGTTAGGTGATGCTGCACCAAGGGTTGTTGGAGTTTCATGTTCTGGAGCTAAGACAGATCAAGCAATTAGTGATATGGATTTTGGATATGCTGAGATTATGGTTATTTCCTATGATCAATTAAGAATTCACATTGATAAAATAGAGAAAATTAAAGGTTGGGGATTACTTATTTGTGATGAAGGGCATAGACTGAAAAATGCTGATATTAAAAGTAGTCAAGCAGTGAACAGAGTTCCTACTAAAAGAAGAGTTATTTTATCAGGAACACCAATTCAGAATGAATTAGGAGAGTTTTATGCTATGGTTTCATTTGTAAATCCTGATGTATTAGGAAGTTTAAGTGCATTTAAGAGAATTTATGAAGAACCAATTATGAAAAGTCGACAATTTGACTGTACACCTGAAGAAAAGTATGCAGGGAATCAACGGTCTAAAGAATTAACAAGACTAACAAAATTATTTATTCTAAGAAGAACATCTAAAGTAAATCAAAAATATTTACCACCAAAAGTACAGCATGTGGTTTTTTGTTCATTAACTCCATTACAAAAGAAGATTTATACTGCTTTATGTAATTTAAAAAATAAACCAAAAGGAAAAGATGAAAAGAAAAGTTGTCAATTCCAAATATTAACTGCATTAAAAAAAGTATCAAATCATCCTTGGCTTATTCAAGACTTTGTTAAAACTTTTCCAGAAGTATTAGATGGAATACTTCCTAAAGGAGATGCATTATGGGATATGGAATTATCAGGGAAAACAGCGTTTTTAGCTAAGTTATTAGCGTTTTTAAGAAAACATAAAGAAAAGATAGTTATTGTTTCAAATTATACAGAAACATTAAATTTTATTGCACATCATTGTAAGAAATGTGGATATCCTTATATTCAGTTAGATGGAAGTGTTGCTGCAACAAAAAGAACACAGATGGTTAACAGATTTAATAATCCAGAGTTGGATGAATTTATTTTTCTATTATCTAGTAAAGCTGGAGGGTGTGGGTTAAATCTTGTTGGTGGAGCAAACTTAGTAATGTTTGATCCAGATTGGAATCCTGCTAATGATGAACAGGCTATGGGAAGAGTGTGGAGAGATGGTCAAAAGAAAAAGTGTCATATTTATCGTACTTTATCAGCTGGGACGGTTGAAGAAAAAATGTACCAACGACAAATAAAGAAACTAGAATTAGCAGGTAAGGTTGTTGAAGGAGGTGATGACAATGATGAAAGTACTTTTGATGATAAACAACTAAAAGAGTTATGTGCTTACAAAGATACTGCATGTGAGACGCATGACTTACTAGGATGTACTTGTGGTGCTGGGTCAAGACAAAGTATCAACTGGGCTAAAAGTGATGGTAAACTTGAAGTTCTTAGAAAAGAATGGAAACACTTTAACGGAAAAAAACCATTGGAAGATGATGTACTGAGAGAATTAGATTCTAAAACAATAAGCTTTTTATTCAGCAAAGAGGATGAACAACTAAAAGATGATGGTAATGAAGAAGTTGTTGAAGAAAAAATGCCAGGAGAAGAAGAAGAAGAAGTTGAAGAAGATTTAAAAATGAAAGAAGAAAGTGAAGAAGAATTGTAAAAATAAGTAAATGTTAAATAACAAAAGATAAATAATTTATTTGTTTTTAAAGAAATAAAAAATAAAACTTCAAGAGAGGAGTAAAAAAGTAATAATAAAATATTAGAAGAGAATAGTAAAAAGAAAAGAAAATGAAAGAGAAACTTGAAAAAGAAAAGAAAGAGAAGAGATGAGTCAAATGTTCTTTGAGAATTTAATACAAAAATATCCTGATTATACAGAACAATGTAAAACACTTCAAGAAGAAAAAGAAAAGAAATTATATTTCCAATTAACAGAAGAAAGTGAAAAATTTGTTAATGATAGATTTTTACAAACAATTGGAGTAATTAGTGATTTTTATGAATTATTTATTCGTGACATACAAAAGAAAATTAATCCAATTAAATTAACTCAAATTGTTATTTCTGTTTGTAAAGGATTTAAAGATTATTCTAAAGCCATTGAATTAGTTAATAGTATTATGGGTGATGTTGAAAGTGATCTTGGAGCACGATGTTTATGTTATTCAATAATTGGATATTATAAATTGTTATTAAAAGACAACAATGGAGCACGTGATGAAATTGATAAATTAACAACACTTTTAGAACATGAAGAAGGATTAGAGGCTATTGTATATAGTCAATATCATTATTTATGTACATGTTATTATGAAAGTAAAAATGATGCAAATGAATATTTTATTAGTGGTGTAAAATATTTAAAGTTTGTTGATCAAAGTACAATGGAATTAGATGATAAAGTAAAGTTTGTAACAAATTTGGTTATTGCAGCATTAGTAGGTAATAAAGTATATAATTTTGGAGAATTTCTTAATAATCCTATTTGTGATTCAGTTCAAAATGAAGAACGAGTAGGTAAATTAATTACTTTATTAAGAGCTATTAATAATGGAAATATGAGTCAATATCTTCAAGTTCAAGAAGAGTTGTCAACATTATTTGATACTGAACCTTCTCTTAAACAAAATAAAAATCAAATTCTTGAAAAGGCATCTATCGTTTCTTTAATGGAAATGATCTTCAGATCACCATCTCAAAACCGTACTTTTAGTTTTGATCAAATCTCATCAACTACTCATGTCCCTATTGAATATGTTGAAATCCTTATAATGAGAGCATTATCATTAGGATTAGTTAAAGGGTATATTTCTCAAACAACTTCTGAAGCAACATTTACTTGGGTTCTTCCTCGAATCTTAGACAAAACACAATTCACCTTTGTGAGTCAAAAATTACAAGAATGGATGGAAATGACACATAAAACATTAGAAGTTATTGAACAAGCTGAATTTCATTAACATCTAATTGATTTTTTCATCTTTCTTTTTTATAATAATACTTTTAATTAAGGTTAAATGAATAATTAAAATTATACAAATAAAATGAATGTTTAAATTTCAATTATGCTTGATTAAATTTAGCTGCACGTTCAGCTAATCTTCTTCTTGATTCTTCTCTCTTTCGTTTTTCTTCTTCTTCTTTCTTTTTCTTTTCAGCTTCTAAACGTGCATTTTCTTCTTTAAGAGCTTTTTCACGTGCTTTAGAATCATCTCCATTTTCAACAGCTTTTTGTGCTTTTCTTTTTTTAGCAGCAGCTGTAACTTCCATTTTATTTAATGCAAGTTGGTCTTCACTTTTCATTTGAGCTAATTCATTTTGAGCAGCCATTCCTCTAACACCACCTTTAGCTGCATCACTTTCAAGTTTCTTCATCTTTTGTAAACGAGCATTCTTAATATCCATTACTTTTTGGAACTCAGCTAATGCATCATCTAATGCTTTTAACATTTCTGGAGTAGCTGCACCTCCTCGTTTTTCAAAAAGGTCTTTGATATTTTTACGATATTCAAACATCATATAATCAATAAAGGCAAATCTCTTTCTAAACTCAATTCCATTTGTTTTTAATCTTTCTCTTAAATCTTGGATGGTTGTAGTTTCTCCTCTCTTTTCCATAAAGACATGCATAGCATCTTCTTCAAGTGTTTCAACAGTTCCATCAGTATATCCTTTGAATGATGTAGCAGTATCTAATACTTCATCAAATTTACCTTGGAACTCTAAAACAAATTGTGTAAGAAATACCTTGGCTTGTTCCTCTACTTTTTTTTCAGCAAGTTCTTTATATTGTTGTGCATATTGTGACATGATTGATTATTTAATGATTTGGAGTTATTTTGTTCATCTGTTAATTCTAAATTACTAGTTTTAACGTTGAATTGTCTTTTTAACTCTAATATTTTGTTATTATCTTTTTGGTTTAAAAAACTTTTTTTAGAATTTATAAGATTGGAGATTGGATTTTGTCATATAATCTTAACTAAACGAAATTGATGACTATGATTGATTTTAATCACTTTGTTCATTAGAAGAGAATTCAGTCCATTTCATCCATATGAAAATACCACTTTATTTACTATTATTTTTTTGTCTTTTTTGTTGTGGTGAACAATGTGTTTGCACATTAAATAAATCATTCATGAATGATAAAGCATCATACTCTTGTGATAACCCTGAACAATGCCAAGTCATTATTCCACCAGAAATGAATGAAGTTTATTATCCCTTAGATGGTATGTCTCTTATAGTTCAGACAGACTCATTGAGTATTACTATAAATCAAAATACAACTATTTCTAATTTGAAAATGATAACTGATAACTCCATTAGTCACAACTCAATTGAGATTTATCATGACGATGGAATTGATAATGTTATTATGGTTATAGATTCTATTACTATTGATGAACATGTACAAACAGATTCTAACCAACAGACTTATCACCAATTATCATTATATACTAATACCATTTTGAAGCAAGGGAATGATAAGTTAGATGTTGTGATATCATCAGATACACAGTGTGCAATTGACTCTTCTTCTATAAATCTCATGGATGTTTTTGGAGTAGTAAATGTGACTGGTAAGTCGGTCATTACAAAATTAATCAGTAATTCAGAGTCTTCAATTTATTTGGACCAACAATCTATTATTGATGATTTAGTTTATAAAACAAGTATTCCTTCTGTTCAGTGCAACCAAATTCCACAAATAAGAAAAATAGAGATTATTGGAGACTCTGATGATTTGATGATAGTCAAGAGTCAACAAAAGATTGAACAAGTTCCTAACATAATATTACTTTTTTACAAATCTCTTGAAGAATGGTATATACACAATGATATTCCAAATAATAAACAACAACTTGTAGTTGGATGTGATAATTCTGAATTGCATGTAATAAGTTCAAATAATAGAATCAATTGCAAAATAAAAGAATGTTATAATTCTTTAGAATGTTTGACAGACGAATATAACACTGAGAAAGAAATTCAGAATGTTAAGTTAATTATTACTCAACCAATGACTATTACAGCATTACCAAAGAAAATAAGTGAAGTGGAAATAAATTATGAAGGGGAAGAGTTAATAACTATAGACTCTCTTTCTCTTCAGAAAGTTCATATCATCAAAGGAAATGGAATTATTACCAATTGTATGATAGAACAATTTGTTAATGATGATAGAGCTGAAATAATTAATTCTACTCTCAGTAAATTAGTTTCTGAAAAAAGTAAGCATATTCAATTAAATTCTGCACATATTGGAGAGTTCATGGATATCACAGACACAGAAGTTATGATAAAAGGTACAATACAGTTTGATAGTCAGAATGAAGGAAGAATTATATTTAGTAATGATTATATTAGTGTTGAAGAGTCATGTTCTATAGTCAGTAATGGAAAGTATTACATCATTATGGATGATAATGCAATAACTATACGTGGTTCATATAACCCAATATGGAAGGGAAGTGATTCTTCATTTTTAATTCAAAGAAATAATCAAATTCAATCAAGAAATCAAGATGGTTGTTTGATGCTCATTTCAACAGAAACCCCTCATTCTATTGTGTTTGATGGAGAAGAAAATGACAGAGATGAAACTGAACAAAAAATTGTATTAGATGAAGATGGAGTTGGATTATACCTTTGTGATTTACAAGAAAAAGCACACTTCGTTGATAACAACTATTATGCAATCATCAATGAATTTAATTCACTTCAATTCAAACAGAAGTATGAGTTATCATCATTTATCAAGTGTTATATTCCTATCCTTAGTACTCATCAATATTATCTCAATGATATTGAGTGTAATTGTCATAAAGATTCTAATTGTGCTTTTATTTTTGAAGATCAAGAACAAATCACATTACATATTCCATACACAACTCGAACAATCCCATTCATTTCTGCTAATTCAATTTATTTAAATTGTTCTAATGAAGTAGAAATTGGAGTTTTATCAGTTTCTAATATGAGCATTGATTCAACAATACAAATAGATGTATTGTATCACCAAAGTGGTGAACTACAATTATCTAACGGGGACATTTATGTTGTTAAATACCTTACATCTTCAGTACAACAAAAAAGAGTTATTGTAGATAATAACGCCTCAGTGATTATTGGAGGATATTTTGATAATGTTGTTATTTCTATTCAAAACAAATGTTCATTAGAGATAGAAGGAATTTATTTTACCACACAACTTGTTCAATGTCAAATAGAAATTGCACAAAATGCAATGTTTTTTTCAATGGAGAATGATCATATTGATTTCGTTCATTCACTCATTAAAATGAATTATCCAAATGAACACGCAATTGCCTTATCTTCAAGTGTGTCGTTTATAGAAACTACCTTAACTCTTCAAACAAATGTACGTTCAAAAATTGATTCACAGAAGTATGGATATGTTTTATACTCTCCAAATGGATGGAATGAAACAATTATTGATTCGGTTGTGCTAACTGATGGAAAAAAAGAAACTTCTCTTCACTTAGAAGATGCATGTGATTTTACATGGAAAATAATGCAAGGGGAATTGGATTCAATAAAGTGTTTGCATAGTCCATTCAACATTTATAGAATTTCCATGAATGAACCACTTCGATGGAGAAAGCAATATCATTCATGGGATTTATTTTTCTTATCAAGCTCAGTAATTTTTGTGTTAGGACTTCTTGGGGTTATTGGATATATATTTTATTTTTCATTACAACCAACAAAGTCTCATTCATTTAATGAGTAAATAATAGTCAATGAGACTTTTATTATTGTTAATTCATCTATTCTTATATATTTATTTTCAATCCATACATAATTTAGATGATGATAGTATTACTACATTCTCTAAATATCTTTACATATTATTAATTCATAGACTATTGTAACGAAGTGTAAATGATTTAACAAACTATTCACAACTTAAATCATCAATCTAATATAAAATGAGGATGGATTGAAACGGAGTTATCTTTAATGAATAAAATATTACAAATATTCAAAATTGAACATTCATAGTCATATGAAATAAAAAGAAGAAATGATAATAACTAAGAATATGTTACTAAATAAAATATAGAAATTATTCATTATTAATGTGTTTTAATTCATATTTTACGAATAAATTGTTTTTAAAGATAATAACATGTAAAAATAATTAATATGTTCATTCAACAAAATGAATATCATATTATATCATAATACAAATAATTATGTATTTAATACAATGGTTATTTTAATCATTTTATTTTATATCAAATTGATTTATAATATTGAAAGAATGTATAATTTCAATAAATATATGTCACAATTAAAATAAGAAGAATAATTATTTTATTCATTATGAAATAAATCATATTAATAAATAAAACAAACCTAAGGATAATAACATAAATAAAAATGATATTTGAATGATAAAATTGAAAAAAATAATTTTATTCATCTTTATAAATTCTTCTATCATAATGAATTAATTGATGAAAATATTGTAATTGTAATAATTAAAATAATAATTAGATTGAATAAATTATAAATATTTTATATTTCAATATCTCATATTAATAACATTAAAAATAACTCTTCTTGTAATGTATGTATTTATTTGATTATAATCATTCAATATTTCATATTATTTTATTTCATTATTTACTATCATCTGTAATTTGTATTTTAATTGAATATTTATTATAACTTAATGTTGAAAATGATTTAATTCAATTATTTAATGATAATGATCAATACAATATTTATTAAATATTTAAAGACATTTTATAATCGTCATAATTTAAATTAATTTTAAAAAAAAACTAAAAAATTAGAAAAACATGAACGAAACAAAGGAACCAACGATGTTCGATAAGTTTGATAAATTATAAATACATAAAAGAAATATGAATAACACAACAGAGTAGTTTCATACTGGAACAATGACAACAGTAACTTGGTTAAAAAAGTTGAAGAAAGAGCAAAAGAAATTATTTCCAAAGCAAAGAAAGTTGAAAGAAAAAGAAACCAAAAAACGTATAAAATGCTTGGATTGGATGGAAGTCATAGTTCTGTAATGATGCAAATTAGTATATTAGAACAACTTGTAATAAAATACCCAAATTTCTTTGATGACATCACATTAGTCAGTGGGACACAACTATCAAGTATTGTAGTTTTGATGATATCAGTTGGGTATGACTTAACAACAATCAAAATGATTATGAGATTGATATTAGAAATGTATCCAACACGAACAGGAATGGTTGGTGGAATTACTGGTGTGATGTATGACAATTGTTATCTTCATGTTATTTTAGAAGAAGTGTTTGGAAAAATGAAAATCAAAGATATTAATTATCTAATTGCAGTCGATGCATTACAAGCAGATTCCATTGTAAACAATCCAGAAGATGAAGAACGAACACACCATGCAATTTTAATGACTAATTTCAAAGAAAATTATGAAAATATGACATGTGTTGATTTATGTATGAGAAGTGAAGCAGTTCCAGGATATTTTGAAGAGTATCAAGGATATCTCAGTGGGATGTTAATTGAGAATAATCCAGTTGTCTTGTGTATTCCATATTTAATTGGTCAAATGGGAGTAGAAATAGATAATATTGTTTGTTTGAATATTTCAGATGGAGATTTTGAACCAAGGTGTTATGACATGGAAAAGTATGGTTCAAGTGGATTTATAAAATGGGGAAGTGAGTTGGTTAATATTTTTCAATTAAGTAGAGTTTGTTTGTGTTTTTTTGATGATGAAAAAGTGTAATTAACAAATAGAGAGAATTTTCAGAAAAAACAGGAAAGTATTATTTAGGAGACAACTTTTGTAGAATTGATATTGAAGTGCCTAAAAACATTGAATTTAATGATAGAGAGAAATTGGAAGAATACGGAAGAAGTGTAGAAATAACAAAATATTTTGAATGGATTGAAAAGAGGTGGATTATTAATTGAAATTGAATAATATTTCAACATCATTTTATTTGAAAGAATATAACAATGTAAAAAATAAGAATAAATCATTTTTACATAATATCATCAATTAAGATTAAGAATAAACTTTATTATTCTTTCATTGTCATTATTAAAAAAGAATAATAAAAAATAATAAAAAGAAAAATAAAAACAGGCAATTAATCAGCCAAATTGTAATTTGTTGAATTGTTGTTATGTTGAATTTGATTATTTCTTATTGTGATTAATGAATTGTCTGTTTAATCTTTCTCATTAAATGGACTTTGCATCAGAACATCCAAATGAATTGGCACTTATCAAACGAGAATCAAAAACATACGAAGCAATCCAACAAGGTGTAATTATTGGATTACTTATTATCAATGGATATTCCATTGAGATTAATCCACCGAGTCGTTTTGCTACAAAATCACTTCAACTATTCACCATCAACGAAATTTATCTACATTCAGTTGCAATGAATTTTGGAGTAACAATCAATGTTTCATGTGAACTTGGGTATGAAGAAGAAATGAGAGGGAAAGGAGAAATGGATGAAAATACAAGGAAGAGAGTTGTCAAAAGCACTAAAAGAAGAAGGGATATAAATAAATCAGCAATAACATTCAACACAATGGTTAAGATGGTAGAAGACATTGGATATAATATCACAAAGAGGTCAATCAAAAGTGCAAAGAAAACAGTCCAAATGATTAAAATCAAAGAAATTGGAATTGGAGAAGAATGGAAAATGAAAGAAGAAACAATCCAAGAAATAGGAAGTTTAATCAACCAATATATTAAAAATATCATTATAAGAACAGGCAAAGCAATTATATTATCAACTAATGATCCATACATTAATTCATTGTTTATCATTAATAATGAAGAAAAAAATAAATGGATGGATATAACAGAAAGTACTTCACATGAAATGTCTTATTTGTAATTATCTTCTTTTTATATCTTATTTATAAAATTGTTTAATTTTAAATAAACAAGAAGTGATGATATAATCAAACAAGAATAGAAACACAGATAATAAATTAAAATAAAGATAAAATGAATAAAATAGATAAATCAATACTTCATAATATATTCAAACATATGAATTGACATAGAAATAAAATAATGAATAATTAAGACACTTTTCATTAATTCCTATCATTGTTATATTATTTTTTATATTATATTCGTTTTATTAAATTGAATGATTCAAATTGATTAATAAATGACTATAATGATAATCTAAATAATTTGATGATAAAGATATAATAAATAATATATGACATTAATAAAATAGAAATAAAAAAGTTAGTCAATTAGAAGAATAAAACTGTGATAAGAATAGAAAGAATAACATATACACACAATGTACCATCAACATTCTTTTGGTTATTTATATCATCATCATCTGTTTTACTTTCTGAATTATTTGTTGTGTTATTATTTATTACTTTATTTTCTTGTTCTTTTTCATTTTCTTTGTTTTGTTCATTCTGTTTAGAATTATCTTTTTCTTCTTTACTGTTATTTCCTGTGTTTTGTGTATTATCGTTTGTTTCTTTCCCTTCTTTGTTTTTATCTTTTTCTTCTTGATTATTTTCTTCTTCCTTCTTCCCACTTTCTCCATCTTTTCCTGTTTGATCGGTTTCATCTATTTTATCACTTCCTTTACTTTCATTTTCTGTTTTTCCACTTTCTCCATTCTCCCCTTTTTGTTTGTCTTTCTCTTCTTCTTTTTCTTTTGCACTTGTTCCATCATTTCCTGTTCCTCCTGTTTTGTCACCTTCTTGTTTATTATTTCCTGTACCATCTGTTCCAGTTTTTCCTGCTTCATTATGCTCTGTTCCTTTATCTCCTTGTTTACTTCCTTTATCACTTTCTCCACTTTTTTCTGTTTTATCAGAAGAACCTGTTGCACTTTTTCCTGTTTCTGAAGTGCTTTCTTCTTTACTTTTATCCTTATGTTCTATATTTTCTTTTTCATTACCTTTCTCATTTATTGTATTTTCTCCTTCTTGTTTGTTTTCAACCTTTGGCTTCTTACTTTCTGCTTCTGCACTTTCTTCTGCACTAACCCCTTCAGTCATTTTACTCTTTGGATTTGTAGTTTGTTCTTGTTCATTTGTTTGTTTTGTTTTACTGTTTTCAACTCGTTCTTCTTCTGTACTTGTCACTCCATCTTTACTTATTTCACTACCTTTTGGTTCTTCTGATACTTTATTCATTTGTGTATTTGCATCCTCTGTAATTTGTGTTTTTACTTTTACTTCATCTGTTCTTTCTTCTTTAATTCCTTCACTTTTTAAATGTATTTTATACAAAATGTCCATCATTTTATTCTGATTTGATTCTATTTGTGTGTGTATTACTTCTTTAGTTCTTTCTTCTTGATTGTTAATACTTTCTGTTGCATTAGTAATTACAATAATCAATAGAAATATAAACATTGAATGAAATGTATGTAAGTTCTTCTCTTTAAATGTACTCTCTTCTTTTTCTATTATTATCTTTTATTTTCATTTTATTTTATAATGACTCAATCATTTCATTCTTCATTTCATCATATTCTTGTATTATTGTATTTTGAACTTCAATAATAAATAGAATGAAATGAAAGATTAAATTAAAATTCAATCCATTTTTGTAATTTATTTAACAAAATTGAATAAATATTAAATTTAATAAAATAAGTCATAGACAATAACAACAATAATGAATGAAATGAATAATAATTTCAATTCATGATTCAAATCATTCCTATTTTAAGAATATATTCATCATTTATTGATTAATTTATTTGATTATTCATTTTAATTTTCTATTTTATTATAGTCACATGTTTTGTCCTTGTTTTCTTTTAGTTCTATCCATTGTTTTTTTAAGAAAGTAAACAAAGGTGTTGAAATTGTTTAGAATAAGATAAATTAAACAGTATATTTTGTATTTAACTTAACATTTGAAAATGTTTTGATGAAATTTCATATGCTTTTTTTCAGTAATAAAACCATTGATGTAATATAAGGGCAACGAAAAAAGCAAATAATTGAAAAAGAAGAGAATGAATGATATAAAAGAATAAAAAGAAAGTAAGAAGTTTGATATGATGAAGAAAGAATAAAAGTAGAAAGGAGAGAAGATAAAAAGAAAGAAGATAAAGTGTAATAAAAGAAAAGAGATGATAAAAGAAGAAAAGAATGAAAAAAAAATAAAAGATGAAAATTTTGTTGAAACAAATAAAAAAAGCGCAAAATTAATGATGCAAAATATTTTGAAATAAAAATATTTAGCAACATATTTTATTGATGCAAAATATTTTGAAATAAAAATAATTCATCATTTGATATTAATAATATATTTGATAATAAATTATATTATATATTAAATACATCATATTTCTTTATTATTTATCTTTCTTTTTATTATTTCATATATTACATTATTATTCATTCATTTATTATTTATATTTCATTTATTAAATAAAATGAAAATGAAATTGTAAAATATCAATCAATTAAATATTCATGAATAATAATTTATTAATATTTAATAATTGAAATAACAAATAATAAAGTAACAA